TGAGGAACGAGGCTGCTGTGGGCTTCTTGCACGACTCTCCTGGTGCACACGTGCTAGAACTACTCCTGAGGACACAGCTTCTTGGGTGTAGGTCTGCACATGTCGGCTTCACTAAATTAGCACTAAGTTAGCTTCCAAAGTGGAGACTTCCATTTCTTCACATTCCCTCCAGCACTTAGTACTGTTAGACTTTTTAATTTGGGGGTGAGTGTGGGACAGTATCTAATCAGTGGCTTTCATCTCCCTTGCCTTGACTGCTAAGTGGGACTGTTCCTGCCTCATACACTTATGAACCATCCGTGTTTCTTGTCCGGAGGCGCCTGTCCATGTCTTTGCCTGTTACCCCACTGGGTCCTTCATCTTCTTTGTATTTACTTGTTTCTTTACTTTGTATATTCTTTTATATGAATTCTTTCTCAACGATGTGTGTTACAAATGTCTTCTCCCAGTTTGTTACTTTTTTTACTCTCATAAATTGTCTTGTAATGAGCAAACATTTTTATTTTTAATGTAGTTGAAGTTGTCATTATTTTCCTTTATAGTTTGTGCTTTTGACGTCTTCTGTTTTGCTTTGTTTGTTTCTTTGTTTGTGGAGGGAGGTATTTAGGTTTGTTTATTTATTTATTTTAATGGAGGTACTGGGGATTGAACCCAGGACCGCGTGTATGCTAAGCACACACTCCACCACTGAGCCATACTCTCTTCCTGCTTTTCACATCTTATTTTGAAAATCTGTAGCTATTCCAAGTTTATAAATATATTCCAATTGTCTTCTAATTTTTTTCTTAGTTTTGCCTTTTGCTTTTATTATTTTCTTTTTCTTTCTTTCTTTCTTTCTTTTTTTTTTTTTGCCTTTTGATTTTAAGTGTTTGATTCACCCAGATTAAATTTTTAATGTGTAGGGAGCAATCCAATTTCATTTTGTTCTGTATGCATAGCCAACTGGTTGGATCACTAGCATTTATTGAACTGTCCACCCTTTTGTCACTGATCCTCAGTGCCTGTCCAGTCACAGACAGTTCCCACACCTGCATTAGTCTGTTCCCTTTGTCTGTCTAACCTTATGCCAGCACCAACAGTCCTCACCGCCACACAAGGAGTCTGATACAGCAGCCGAGGCACGTCTGCGAGAGCCTCTTGACCATTCTTTGCTCCTCTCCACACATTTTAGGACCATTCTGTCAAGTTCAGGCAAGGGGGGATGGGGAGAGCCTTTGGGTCCTTGATTTAAAATGAGCTGATCAGTGTAGGAACAGCTGATACTGAATCTTTCCAGCTATGAGCACAACATAGCTTTCCACCCATTTGGCCCCTTTTAATGTCAATCCATAAAGCTTTAAAATGTGTTCACAGAGAGCTCGCTCATTTTACAGGATTTCTCCCTTGCTCCTTTATACTTCTGCTGCTACTGTAAATGGTATCTTTTTTCAAAATTATCCTTTTCTAACGACTTCTGCTGGCACAGAGAAATGCAACTGGCATCTGTGCTTTGCCTTTTTTATTCAGCCACCTAGCCAAGCTCTTATTGATTTTCATAATTTTTCTACATATTCTTCTGGGTTTTCTATGCAGACAAGCATGTCATCAATAAATAATAAGAGGTTTACTTCTTCCTTTCTAGTCTTCATGTGGGGAACAAGAAGAAAAACATTTTGGAGTTACAATCAGAAACCTTGAGAAGTGTGGGGTTAAAAGGGTGAGAGGAGAACTGAGACATCTCTCCACCCAGAGTCTCTCTATGCTGGCAGGTGGTGTCCTTATCTGAAAGTCTATGAAAGGAAAGACACCTTAAATAAGACAAAAACAAACAATATACACAGACGAGGAAATTAAGCTTGTTTTAGCCTGCATGGGATGGCATCCTGTCCTTAGCTTTTATCATCACCGGCGCTTGGGAACGGTGTTGATACAGCCAAGACCACATTATGTGATGGCAAAGCACAACACCTATCAAATGTAACCACAGAGGTTCACTCTCCATGGAACTTGGGGAAATAAATGTGCGGTATTAGCGTCACCACATTATCACGGGTCTCCTCTCAGAACTTTACTAAGTCACTCCGGTCAACTTAAAAACCATGCATTGCGGTGTTGTGATATAACCCCTTTGAGGTCCAATGTATTTGGAGGTATTTGTTTCCAGTGATCCAAAATCCCCTTCCTCCCAAGAAAAGCTGAAAGACGAATGTGGGCGGGGGAGGGGGTCATCTTAGGTCAGTGAAGCGCCCCTCCTGGGAGGCGGCAGGACAGCCTTTGGGAGGTCCCTGGGGACTTGGGGAAGAGATCCTAGCAGATATTTGCAAATGTGCCTTAGAGCAGAGTGTGATTTGTTGAATTAATCGGGAGAAACGCAGAAAAGGAACACAGTTTTTCCCCATAAAAGTTAAAGACGTAGAGACCTGGACTAGAAAATCGGAGGTCTGCATAGACTTAGACATCCTTAGACCCAATCAAGGAGCATAAAATAAATCAAAGATTAAAAGCTAATGGTTTTAGCAAGGAAACTTGACAGAACTAAGGCTTATGGAAACTGGTAAGGAAATGTTTGTTTTTGTTTTTTTCCAAAGTGTCTACACTTACAAAGGAAGAACCTTCTACAATTGCACAAAGAAAAAAGCTGAAGAGTCTCTTAAAGTTAGGCATAAATATTCAACCAGGGTTCACGCTCATTGTTTGAAAAATTGAATCAGGAGATGAACTGCTTTCTCCTGGGACCGATCCTCCTAATTTAGTATGTAGGCTAGCAGTGGCCTTTGGGATCTGACAGTTTCATGGTGTTTTTTTCCACACGTTCAAATGTGATTCAGATTTCACATCTGCCTTGTCTGAGAACCCGAGTCAAATGGAGAGGTTGTCTGAAAGAAAAGAGGCTTCGTCCAGTTCCATGAAGATCATTTCCACTAACTCAGCTAAATTTGAGATGGACCCAAATTATAAAGCCATATTTTTCCATGTTAATCATAAAACATTTTCCAATAGAAAAAACAATATTTAAAAAAATTTCAGAATGCAAATGTAACTTCAGTTTTCTCCTCTTATAACTCAGTAATGACATAGCAAATATACAATTTCTGAATTTCCTGAGAGGTTGTACAAAATGGTTATTAAGGTCTCTCTTAAGAGTCTGTGGCTGAGGAGGGCACAGCTCAGTGGTGGAGTGATTGCTTAGCATGGGGTCCTGGGTTCAATCCCCAGTGCCCATAGTTAAAAAAATTAGTAAAAACCCTAATTACCTCCCCACAACAAAACAAAACAAAAAAGAGTCTATGGCTCTGAAATAGTGAGCTTTTTGTGAGGAACTTGTGTCACGTACAAAAATCACCACCAACGAAGGGCTGGGTTTAATGCAACGTCCTCCCTCACCTCCAGGTTCTGCTGGATTGGAGTCAGAAACCCAAGAAATGTTAAGGAGACAGTCACACCCTTAGCAAAGTTCTCCTACCTCCTCTTACCGTCCTCTTCCAAAATACAAAAGACAGGACATCTGTGGGGCTGGTGATAGCTGGAGCATGACTTTTGTTAACTGGGATGGGCACCAGGGTTGGGAAAGGCCAGGACATGGTGGCGAAGGTGGGGGCGGAGCTTCACCACCACAAGGCGTTTTCAGGTTGGACATTAACCCTGAGTGCCAAGTCAGGCTGAAGCGTTTCCATCGGTGAGCTTGGCAGAACACAGCGCAGGGAGACCACCGTGGTGAGGACACAGCGGGGAGACCATCGGGGTGAGAGAGACACTGCCCTTGATTTTCCTCTGCCTGAGGAAGTAAACCTAAACGTATCCGTGCTATAAGGAGTCTCTATTGTGAAAAAGATACAGCTTGGCACAGGCTTCAATTTGTAGTTAAATAGTATCTTTTTATCCATCTCTTCAGTGGTAAGCCTGTGCCTCTCAAACACAGCACCACTTACATCTACCTGACTGTCTTAAAGAGAGAAAATTGCCCTCAAGAATCAGTAAGGCTGTGTAAAAATTATGGATTAAAGACTGAGATTCACACTTTTTATGGCCTGGGTAGCTTTGCCTCCTATTACTTCTTAGAAACCATATTTTATTCTGTGTTACAGACAAAATTGAATATAAATACGTTTTTACGAAAAAGATAGTGATAGCTGATACCACCTATTAGAAAATATAAATTTAAGGTTCTTCTTAAGGTAATATTTCTGTTTTCTAGTCTTACTTTTTTCCCTACATCTAAACAAATTCAAAGCCCTCTGGCATAAGCAAAGAATATTCAATGCTTTAAAAAGAGCAAAATATAGGTTTTCTTTTGCATGTAAAGAAGGCTTTGGTGTAGACTAGCCTGGCCTGTTAGCAGAGCATTCAAGGGAATTCAGCGTAGGGAGATGGAGGGAAACCAAAGTGCGTGTGCGAAGCTTGAAGACCACCCGTGTGCAGAAGCGGACTCCGGGCTCGAGCTGTCTGGGCCCGACCCTGCCTCTGCCGCTGGCAGCCGTGTGACCGCAGGTGCGCTGAGTCCCTTGTCTGGGACTCAGTCGGCTCACCTGTAAAACAGGGCAATAACAAATGCCTACTTCCCGGGACTGCGGGACCTGTGAGGCACTGAGAGAACTACCTGCCGATGCGCAACAGGTGTCGGTTTGTCTGTCCGTCCATTTAACCACCAAACGCCTCAGGTGCACCTACTGTGCACCCGGCGCTGTTTCAGGAAGTGTAGCGACATCACCGAGCAATGAAGAGCCAATCGAGGTGCCTGTCCTGGCCAAGCTCACATGCCGGCGAGAACCGAGAGACTCGCTGTGTGTTGCAGGTCAAAGGCTCAACAAGTGTTAGCTACTGTTCTCCTCATTATTGAAGAGAGACCACAGCATCCGTGAAAGGAGTCGCCAACGCGATCTAGACTGACTGAGCTAATGGCAGTTGGGCAGAGGGACAAATTAGGAGTTTGGGATTAAGAGACACTAACTACAGGATATACAAGAGATAAACAACAAGGTCCTACTATACAGCTCAGGGAACTCTATTCAATAGCTGGTAAAAGCCTACAATGAAAAAGACCCTGAAGAAGAATATATACGTGTGTGTGTGTACCCGAGTCACCCTGCTGTACACCTGAAACTAACACAACACTGTAAATCAACTACACTTCAATTAGAGAATAAAATTAAGTGAGTCTAATTGGATCTAATTGAAGAGACATTCTGTTCCCTGTTCCCTGGATGAACTGAACACCTGCTAGGAGCAGTGGAAGGTGGCTCGTGTCCCCAGCGCGGGCGAGCCCAGCACCCTGGGCCCAGACCCCGGGCTCCCAGCCCCTCACCCTGGGCCCCCTCCCTGGGTGCATGCCGACTCCCACCGGGTGCTTGACTGTGTCTTTGTGCTTGCTTGTTTTTTTGCTGCTTCCCGGATTTCTGTCAGCGATCCAGTTTTACAAATCACTTGGCTGTGATCTGTGTTTGCTGTCTTCCTTTGAAACTGTGATTCACAGTGTACACCCTTCACACAGAATCCTCGCAGCCGAGAGACTGAAAAGCTTGTTTTCAAAACAAATTGCAGAACGGCCGGCTCCCCGGGTGTGCAGGCAGCTGCCGAAATGGTCAAATGCAATTAAGGGAGCCTGTTCCAGATCGCTCTGTTTTCACTGAGCCAGAATGTTTTCAGATGTGGATCAGATGGTGATGTCACTTCACCCACGACCCAGTCAGCTGAGAAAACACACTTGAAATGGAAGACGAAAAGGAGGCCGCTTCGGCGGGAGGATCTGTGGAGATGGGTTCAGACGGGGCTTTTTAGTTCAGTAAGAAAAGGCCGATGACCACACTAAACCTGCAGGATGCTTGGTCATGAACTTGAACTCAGGACAGGTGCAGGGCAAGCTCTTCCTGGCCCCTCTCTCACGAGGGGGAGGGGACAGGAGGGGCCCCGGCCTCTGGGGTTATCTGGAGGTCAGTGAGACAGTGTGTGTGAACACCGACTGCACAGCTGGGGCAGGACCCACGTTCCAGGGGTGTCGCCGTCAGGATTGTTACTCACCACCCGGCCTGGACCGTGTGCACTCGCCCGAGGGGGAAATCGGGTCACGGTGTCGAGGCCCCACCGCCACGACCCAGCCACCGGCAGACATTAAGAACCAACCTCTTGTCGCCCGCTCCCTGGTGGTTCAGAGAAGCCCAGGACTGTCAAAGGTCTGTTTGAGAAGTGAACCCTCTCGGCCGCTACAAAGGAGACCTCCTTTCCTCCGTCTGGCCCCACAGCCATCCTGCTGACTCCCCCATCTCCAAATGCTCTGACAAGGGCTGCACCACACACGTATCCACCCTGGGCCTCGGGCTCCTGTCCTCCTGAGGCTGCGGTGTGTCCTGCCCCTCACCCTCTTCCCTGCAGCGTCTTAAGGAGACGTCCAGGTTATAGGCCTTTCGTTTTCACAACCTGCTGGACTCAGTGCTCCGGCACCAGCCCCAGGGTCAGCGTGGGCTGGACACACGTCCCCTCCTGTCTGGGCCTATTCTCTCCCCTAGGGGTGCCCCCCATGAGCCATCTGCCTACCGCGGATCTGCCCAGCCTGCCCTCCAGAATCCGGGAACGGCTCAGGCTTTCAAGGTGGGGTTACAGCTCTTCATTCTGGAGAGCAGTGAACGTGCACGGGGTGACGGGCAGGGGACAGGTGGACGTGGTACCAGATGCTGTGCGGTCTCTTCCAGGTGTGTGAACGCGGGCAGCCACCTCTCCTTCTATTTCCCGGCCCCTCCCTCTTATGTAGGGATAACCCCCCACCCCGGGGACTGCAGGAAGTGCCGATGGCCCAAACTCACACAGTGTTGGCCCCGTGCTGCTGCGACAGCTGCTCCCAGCTCCACACCCAGACCCCTGCCACCAACAGGTCGACTCCAACCAGGTTTCACTGGAGCACCATCCTCAGCAAAACCGTTCCTCCTCCTCACCTTCACCCAGCATCGCAGGAGCCTGCCAGCTCCCATCCAGAAGCAGCTCCGGCGTTGGACGACCCCCCTCAGGTCCTCCACTGTCGTCCTCCTCCAGACCTCAGTTCTCTGCTCAGCGCTGTCTGTGGGGACCAGATTCTCGGGCATCTGACAGGAAGGGCCTGCTACACAGAGGAGGGCTGGAAGGCGGTTATACGTGTGGATCTAGACCT